AAATAAAATAAAAAATAATAATAATAATACAGTATAAGTAGACAAATAAGTATGATGATTAACCATTTACAAATTAAAGGTACCTGGAGATACCACTTAAGCAGCCTACAAGAGACACTGATAGACAGACCTCAGAATGGCATATATTTGTTAAGCTCTGAGAATTCCAGGTTTGCATCATGTCCTGGTTATCTGTGCTCAATGTAGTTTTGTGCCCACTGAAACTCATAAATGGTTTTATATTACATATTAATAATACGAGAACATACAAGATCACAAATCAACAAAGGTCAACTCACTATCAATACAGCTCCCTGTTAACATGGTCCTGCGTTGCCCAAACACCACATGCTTGACACATTTCCTCAGCATGCGTGATACGCTGGGCAGGTGTCGCACACAGAGTGACGCCATATTTTTCTTTGAGGCAAAAAAAAAGAGAATATCAATGCAGTTTTCACACTGACTGAAAAATAAATAGAACTTAAAGGCATTAGAATAAAGAATAAAAGTTGTTATTTTTAATATTTTTCTATCACGATCTAGTATTAATTATTTTAAGAGACTTAGACTTGGCGCAACATTTTTTAATTTAGAAAAACTTTAACTTTGCAGTGAAAAGACCAGGAATTAGACTGTCATTTTTCTATTATTTCTGCTCTTGCAGCATTGACTCAGAGGGTTGGGACACCTTCATCTCAGAGAAGATGGGAGAGCTAAATTATAGCCACATATTAAAGCCCAGGCCTTAGAACACTTGAACTTTGACTTCAGTTTGGTAGCAGTGACTGGTGGTGTAGTGTAGTAGGACACAAAATGCTTCTGATTGAGATGATTTACTGTGCAATTGATCCAGGCAATTTACCAATCAGAGCAATCTTAAGATAGCGCTGCACGAACTTAACTATCGTATAATTGCGCGGCAATCTTAAGATAGCGCTTCGCGTTTTAACGATCGTTATACATTTTAATTGTATCATTTTTGTGAGCTCATCAGTTTCACATCTTATTTAATCTTAATTTAATTTAAATTTTCACATTTTTACACTTTTGAAAATATATGCGAATGTTCCTTGATGTGAGTAAAAGAAAAAAGATGGAAGTGAATTTTTTTATTATTTCAAAAATATATAAAATAAATTAAATGTTACTTAGTAAACTTTGAGTTTGATACCTGGCATTGTATCATTCTTGTTGTAGCCTTCATTGTTTGTGAGCTCTTCAGTTTCATAATTCTAATTTTAATTTAAAATTTCAATTTTTACACTTTTGAAAATATATGAATGTTCCTTGAAGTGAGTAAAAAAATAAAGATGGTGTGAATTTTATAATTTTTTGTATTATTTCAAAAATATAAAATATTAAAATTATCAACGCAGTCTTCAGAATTCTGCGCAATTATACGATCGTTAAAACGTGCAGCGTATCTTAAGAATCACGTACACGGCGCACCGGCAATGGAATTTTAGTTGCCGCAGGAGGTTCCCCACCGGGCGCCTTAAATCATGTCGCGGTCACGAGGGTCAGCTCCCTGTCGCCGCTCTGTCTGGGCCGACTTAATTTTTGGTACTTTTCAACGTACAATTTTAGGTGCATCTTTGTATTTATGATAATTCTCATTTAGTGCACCCAAAGCACGCATTTCTGCTCTTGAGACTAAAAAAAGAACGGACATTGTAACTTGTCTGGTTATTTCGTTCGCTGGAGTCGGCTTTTTTCTGTTGAGGGCGCTTTTTCGGTAGTTCCCACCCCGCAATTAGTATTCGCTGGTTTTGGCCCCAAGAGGGGGGTTTCAGGGGGGCCCCCCTGACCTAATAGAAATATGGTGGGGGGGTTCCACAATTTAATGTTTTGCAGTTGTCAGTATATCTTAGCTCGCCACACAACAAACGTATAGATCTAGATGTAGATACGGCTCAAATAAAGGGGGTGGGAACTACCGAAAAAGCACCTCTCTGTTGAGTCTCCTCGTTTCATCGACCAGGACAAATAACGCCAATTTGATCATATTTCCTATCCATGGGCAACTGAAACTGATAGGAAAATATAATGCCAAACAACGTTGCATTGCACAGCCCGCTCCGCTTGCAGTGTGGCCACCCAATGTTAACGCCTCAAACAGCTCTGCTCTGCTATTCAACTGTCCCCGCTCTGCTTGCTGTGTGGCCAGAGCCTTTTTATATTAAAAAATACGGGGTGCCCACTATGGCACTAGATCTATGGCTGATCGGGCCAATCGCCCAACTCGATCGCCTCAAAAACAAATGTGTTTGTTCTCAGTTTCAGGCGATCAAGTTGGGCGATCGACCCGATCCAGCCATAGTGGGCACCCCGTATTTGAAAGGGCCACCTCTATTCTCACCCGGGATGAGAATAGTGCAGGCGAGTCTTTTGGCTATTCTCACCCGGTGCGCGTTCACCGTTATAGCCTAGATCTAGGCCAACAAATTTTGCATTCACCCTAAACCACAGAATTTTACACTGTGATACAGAAAAATTGTAGAATTCTGTGCTATAAACAAACGTTCCATTACAACTGTACTTGTAGCCTACTAAAAGCGAACAATTTTGTCTGTGGGCAGTGGAGAGAGAGAGTGAGAGAGAGAAAGAGAGAGAACAAAAAACAAAATGGCGACCCGCGTAGTTCGGCTCGATTCGAAAAGTTAAATAGCCGTAGATCCGTAGCATCTTTGTAGACAACCAAATTAATTTACTTTTGTGTTTTAACATCATTTTTTAACTTTGTTTTGGTCAATTTGATCGTCCACACCGATAGACAGTATTCAGAAAGAGACAGAGAGAGAGAGAAGAGGGGAGGAGTAGATCTTGCGAGAACTTCCGGGCGGGTGAGAATAGCCACTTTCATTTGAAAGGTCATTTCTATTCTAGATCTATGACTAGATTCTAGAATCTATATCTATATCTAGATCTACATCTAAATCTAAATCTAGAATCTAGATCTAGATCTAGATCTAGATAATCTAGTTCTAGAAATCTAGATCTAGATCTAGAGCGCGGGTGACACACAAAACATATTTTCATTCATCAGTTGGTAGATCTGAGATTTTTAATTTTCCCGAGTGGCAAGTTACAATAGACAATTATCATAAATAAAATATAAAGAACGGTTAACTTCATAGGCTTTGCCATTGTATCTCAAAATTAAAATCTGTGCCGACACACAGATCTAGAAATCTCTAATTCAGAATCTAATCTTGAGATCTAGATCTAGGCCTACAGAAGGCCTACACAGTAGTCTAGAGTCAAGACCAGCGGCCAGCGGCGCGGCGCCGGAGAATAGCTTCCGATCTATATTGACCGGCGCGACGCCAGAGAATAGTCACATGCTAAATATTAATACACATTCCCACTGGTTCACTCAATACTCAAAGCACTTACGCTGTTATTTATATATGTAAATTGTAACTTTGAACACACACACCCACACCGTCACTCCTCAGTGCGACTCGGCATTTGGCATCAGGCATCAGGTCACCTATGACCAGAGTAATTTCCCTTGCGGGATAAACCCAAAGACCCTATGTGTATGATCATTGGTAAACCCCCTCGTACTCGGAGGAGATTCATCAGAATCAGAGTCTACATCAGAATCAGAGATGGATGGCAGAAATTGAGAGATTGCTGACGTCAACACATACTGGCTTGGTGGTAGGCAGAAATTAGACTAGATCTACTACAAGAGGGAAAAAACACATAGACGTACTAGATCTAGATCTAAATGGGAAAACACCATTGGTTTACATTGTCGCGAAGACTTTGCTTTTGTCGATCATATTCGATTCGCTTACAGATCTAGACTAGTTGTGATTTTCGGAGCTTTCACCCACACAGAGATAGAACATTGATGATTAAAAAATCATACTTTTTTGTTTGGCTGCGATTATTACCACCAAAGATTTTCTCTTATTCCCACCCTCCCGAGAGGATTTAAAAATATTTTACTATCAATGTTTTACTAAGGTGTGTGTGTGTGTTCTTGTATGAATGATTTAAATTTCATTTATATTTTTAGCCTTTTTTTCAGTAATATTGATTTGATATGACAGAAAGCATTCAAAAGCTAAAAGTGATGTCATTTTTTCCCTTTTGCATATTAGCACTTTCGTTTGAATGTGCTCAATAGTTCAAGGCGTAAGTAGCACGAAATTGTAGAGGCGTACTAGATCTAGGTCTAGTTAGGCTAGATCTGCCAGTGTATGTGTCTAATTCTCACCCCAGGTTTAGAGGTCAGCCTTCAGCCTGTATAACATCTATTTAAAAAACAAAACATCAAGAATCTAGGCCCTAGATCTAGATCTAGATTCTAGATAGATAGGAAAGATGCAAGGATCTTAGAACTAATGGAGCCTCGTCTCTCTCTTCGCGGCGCCAAGAGCAAGCACGCCGAGGTGGGGAGCAAATATGGCCGCCGACTATGGTCTAAATCACGAACTGCGGTGTTTCTTTTTATAGAATTTTATTGGGCTGGGCCCTAGACGGTAAGAGTTAAGAACGTATAGGCTGGGCCTCGTTATGGGCAGGGTGGGGGAATGCACGCAAGGAAGAGGGGATGGGGATGGGATGAAAGAGGAGGGACGGGCCACGGAAAGGGACGAAGGAGAATGGGAAAAATTAAATGAAAGAGAGAGAGAGAGAGAGAGAGAGAGAGAGGGGGGGGGGGGGGAAGACAGACAGAGAGAGAGAGAGATTGCGATCAACTGACGGGAGGACGGATAGAATAACAGGGAGAAAAAAATAAATTCTGTGTGTGATACGCACTCTTCTAGGCTACTGAGAAAGCCTAAGGACTGTTCAATTATTTAAGAGTTTTATGTTAGGCCTATACAGCTAGTTTAAAGATTAAGAAGACCGGCAAAATAAGAAGAAAACTTATGAAGATTTCATAAAATTATCAAACATACCAAATTATAAAGATAATCTTTCAAGACGCTAAAATATCTTATTATAATAAGAAATGGTGAAAAATGTATTTTTTAAAACTGAATTTAATTAAGATATGACTGCATGATTCTAAGCGTGTGCCAACTAGCTTTATGTGTAAAGAACAGCGAACACAAAAGAGGGTCGATGCAAGCTTTATCTGATTGCTAACAGTATTGCCTTGGTCTATAAATAATAATAGGCCTATTATTGATTACAATAATTTTGTTTCCTGTTTTTTTCACAAAGTGGAGCGCGCAATAATTTCAAATATTAAAAAAAAGAGAGACAACAGCACCTTTGGACTTTTCGAATGATATCAAAACTTACTATTATTGAGGCAGGAATAGTACAGTCTTTGTTAGCTTGTGTTGTTGCGTTCCTCTGTCCTTATTAATGTCTTAATGCCTTTTTCTCCCGTTTTGACAAAGGCAGTCCGTGTGACTTGCCCTGTGTGAACACCAACACAAAAGAAAATAATGCTGTTGTTGTTGAAGAACGTGAGGTCAGTTGTGTGTTTGTACTTAGGAATGTGAGAAAGGCATGTGGTCCAGACGGTGTGCAACCCAAAATTCGGAAAATGTGTTCAGCACAACTTAGTTTTATTTACACCTATATTATTATTATTATCAACCAGTCGTTGTTGACACATGTTATTCCCACTATTTGGAAATGTTCTGAAATCGTCCCCCTTCCAAAGACAGAATAAAATTGTTGAAATGAATGACCTACGGCCAATAGCCTTAACATTCGTAGTTATAAATTAATGTCTAGAAAATAATTGTGCTAAAAAGACTACGAGCGTACATAAAACCCATCCAGTACCCTCTACAATTCGCATATCGTCACGGGAGAAGTGTGGAAGACGTCATTCTACTATTTCTTGACAACATAATTATATAGACACTTCGACAAACCAAAAACATACTGTAGGATCCTGTTTGTTGATTTTTCGTCAGCCTTTAATACTATCCAGCAAGCTATATTTTTTTAAGGAATCAGAAAACATAGGTGTTAACGTCAATTTAATATAATGGATAGATTGGCAGTTTTCTTACCAACCGAACCCAGTATGTAAAATTAAAACATTCTTCATCGACATACATCACAACAAATAAAGGGGCCCCTCAAGGATGTGTTTGTCACCAGTTTTATTCACACTATACACGAACGATTGCCAAATTAAACAACAGTAACATCAAGTTGATAAAATTTGCAGATGATTCAACCATAATTGGGCTAATTCAGGCTGACCATAACGAAACCGCTTACCGGAATTTTGTACTTAACTTTTCTGAAGGGTCTGAAAATCATAAGCCGCTTTTAAATGTGAAAAAAAAAACATGGACATGGGTATGAGGCGGCCTTGTTGGCTCTACCTGAAGAATCATGCCTTGGCTGTAAGCTCAGGCGGTAAGTTCATATTGCGAGTTCGATGTTCGGCGAAATCAATGGCGTCGATGAGAAGTTCACACCTGGGCGTGATTCCTTTGTCGTAAAATCCTTGCGTCTGGAGCAAACTTGTACCTCGCATCGAGATTTAGAGTGGAGATGTGATCCCTTGCATGAGCATGGATGACCTTTGAAGTTTTTTTTAATATATTTTTTTTTTTTTTGTTCAGCAAAGTACGATAGGGAAAGCAACGTTTTTAGTCCCTTCACACTTCAGAGGGGGATAATTTATCTAGGGATGACTAGTAAAATTTGTTGTTGCTTTGTTTGGTTTATTTTTTAACAGCAGAATCTAAAGTGAACCGGAATTATAAATTGTGGGATTATAGGTGAAGACTACAACAATAGAATCTAGATTTAGATCTAAACCGAGTATAGTTCTATCAAACAAGATTCAAACTCGTATCCACCCACCCTACCCCCTCCCCTCATCTGATATGGTTTGGTGTTTCTTTAACATAGAAGATATGCATCATTATTGTTGTTGGGTATTAATTTCGTACTCTAATGGAGCCTCTCAATATCTACATTTAGACAACAGTAGTCTTGTAGTAATTAGGAAGAATGGGCTTAAAAACATTAAAACAAGTCTGACTGACTGATTGAACTCAATACGCTAAGGTGTGTTATATGATTAGTAAATAATAATATATTAAAACAAGACACATGTAGAAACCTAGACTCTAGATTTTGTCCCGTCAAAATAAAGGTCTGCTGCGCATAGCATCTAATTTGTGCGCACACTGGAAAGCAATATAGATCTAGATCTATACTTTAATTAAAATGTATAACATGTATATATAATATATATACATACACACACACATACACTCACACACACACACACACACACACACACACACACACACACGTAAGAATAAGAATATTTTTTAAAAATCAAGTATCTCGGTCTTTCTTCTGGGGTGTTGTTACAGTGTATCCCTTTCAGCCCGGGTTGGCCTTTGCAGGTAGCGCCGGAGCCAGCCTCTTATAAATGTTATTAATCTAAATTATGTCGCTGGGGGCATAAAAACACTTTCATTCAGATTTTTTTTAAAAGGAAAACAACACCTGTGAATACTTCTGTCCACTGCAGCATCATCGGTTCTTACACTTACACACAACACGGGTGGAAGGTGTCATGATATTCGAAACTTATACTCGAATATAGTGAAGATGTTCGATTTAGACTTTGTTAGCCTATGTGATTCTTTATCTAGATCTAGATATCTAGAAAGTTTCTTAGCTTAGGCCTACAATCATACGCGCGCTCAGGCAATCTAGCAGACGTCGCGCCCTACCTAGATCTAGATTCTAAGTCACGCAAGCTCCGTGAATGAACCAAGGGACGCTACCAAATCAAAGTTTCCTACCTCTAAAGCCAACAAATTTTACCTCCCTTTAAAATGGCACCAAAACTGCCACCACCACAGCCTATGAATTTCAGGAATGAAACAGGCCAGTTAGTTGACAAATGGAAATCATGGAGGGAGACAATAACTTTAAACATAGATCTAACAATGCAAGACAAGCCTGAGAAAGAGAATTGTCAAACTATCCTCTACCTCATAGGAGAGGAAGGAAGGAAGATTTACCACACACGGCAAATCCCAGAAGAGGAAAGAGACAAAATGGCCCCATTAATGGAAAGATTTAATAACTACTGCATTCCCAAAGCAAACATCACCTTAGAAAGGTACAAGTTTGATACAGCAAGCCAAGCTGAGGGGGGAAGTGCGGAAGAATATGCCACAAAACTCAGGAAGTTAAGTAAAAACTGCCATTATGGGAAGCTAGAAGACGAGCTAGTAATTTTAAGAGACAGACTTATTGTGGGACTGAGAGACAACTCCTTGAAAGAACGGTTACTCAGAGAGAGTACACTTACACTGGATACAGCATTGCAAATGTGCAAGATTGAAGAAATTTCCAAATCAGGAATGGGACTACTAGCCAACATAGAATGTCAGTCCAGACTTTGCAGAGGAAAAAGTCCAGTCCGTCACCAAAAGTCTACAACCCATCATCTAAACACAAACCCAAGTACGGGTCCAGTTCAAAGATTCAGCCAAAGAAACTTTTCGCCAATTTTGGAGGTTCCCCACA